AGAAATGTGTCAGACAAGGATGTAATGGCTCTGTGACTATGGAAGGGACAGATGGTGGAGTAAATAAAAGTAAGGGGTAAATACGAAAAAGCCCTGTTTTTTTATTATGCAAGCCATTAGTCAAACCTAGTGGTGAACAATCTGAATTGTATCACTGAAATTTGTACACATTATCTACTATGAAAAACATTATAAATTTTTTCTGAGAATCAGTATTAAGGAGAAATTACATTCCAAAGAAATTGGCTTTGTGTGAGACAAAGTGGTCTCAAAAATAATGAAGTATTTCTATCATTTATATAATTTTGTGAGAATTATGAAGAGAGAAGAAGTCTGAAGAGAGTCTCACAACAGCCTTTCACTTTGCTGCCAAAAAACCTGTATTCATTATCTCTACCTTCACTATAGCCAAGTTATCCACTTTACTAGATAAGTTTAGTTTTTCTTCAGTGTTCAAACTATATTAAGAAAATTCTGAACATAGTGAAAGTTCACTGCCAAACTGCTGATGCCATTATGGAAAATAATCTTGCTTCTACCCAGCCACTGTTGGGAAAATATTAGTAGAACTTCATCCACCCATAGGAGTAAAACACTAGTGTCATCATTTGAATCCTCCTGCAGTCTCATCTCCAAAGTACTGGAAACAATTGATATGTATACTATATTGCAATTCATTTACATCAGCATCAGAGAACAGATTTTCTAAAGAAAATGTACTGCCCTTTTCTATATTATCTCTACATCTCTTTCTTATACATTTGACCATCAAAGATTTGAAACAGACAAGATGTTTGGCTGAATTTTACAAACTGGAGAATTGAGTCTGAAGCTGAACTGTAATATGATGTGCAGGGCTGCGGAGTTGGTAAAAAAACACTCAAACTCTGACTCCTGATAATTTTAGTAGGCCAACGCCAGCAAAATTAAATACCAAGTCATTTTATGGGGTGCAGAGGCCATAAAATGACTTGGTATTTAATTTTGCTGGCATTGGCCTACTAAAATTATCAGGAGACAGAGTTGAGTGTTTTTTCTTTTTTCACTGAACTTTGAAAGGAGCCCTGGGCATTTACCCAAATACTTTCATCACAAGATAAAAATGTTTTATCACAAGAGAGATAAGTCAACCACAACCACAATGTGTAAAAATATGTGTTTGTTTCTTTTACAATCATTTAATACCATATTTTACTTATATAATTCCTCAATATATTTTGTTTACCATAATTCTCCATACATATATATAATATTATGTTTTAAATTACATTTTTAGTTATGAATGCATGAGAAATACAGTGGGTGATTAATTAACGAACATAATCTGTTCCAAGACTTTGTTTGCTATCCGAATTGTTCGTTAACCGATTATCGATTTACCATAGGTTTTTATGGGAATTTGATTAATTCATTCTGGAGATCCCAAAAAATAAAAAATATATACTTTCTTACTATGTTTATTTATATGTAATAATAAAAATACATTATATACAAATATATACACAGTCTTGCATTTTTATCAGTTTGTGGGGGTTAAAGAATTTGTCTACTGTCGATTGCTTTTCTCTCTTCTTCAGAATTTTTCAGAAGTAATTAATAGCATTGTAATTGTAGAGATCCCCAAGCCTATTAACCTCAACCTGGTTTGGATGCCATTCTAAAACATACTCCCACTTCTTCAAAAGATTCTATAATTACAGATATCGGCATTAATCCTCTTTTTCAGAAGAAAACATATCTCGCCGAGTTTCTTAGTGTTCTTCTGTCATCAGTCTGTTTCAGGTTCCATTATGAGCTCTTCAATGTTCTTTATTTCTCAGATGTGATTTTTGTTACTCCTTTAGCTGCTTGAGTCTTCTTGATTATACAGTATCTTTCTCAGATAAGATTGAACTGTGGTCTACTGTAGACCTGTTCAAGCGATACTGCCCAGCAACATCAGACATCTTCTGCCCACTCTGTACCTTTGCTATTATACTCTCACCTTTTGAAAATAAAAACTGATGCAAAACTTAACAAGTGCCCACCCGACAGTCTCATGAATACTATAAAAGAATTCTTTCTGTCAGAAAAATAAAAGGCTGGAATTACAAGGGAGAGTTTCAAAGTTTGGAGGAATACTATTTGATCAGTATATACTGGGTTGAGTGTCGATGTCGACATCTCTCGCACTCTGAAAAGGTTCAAATTGTTGCCTGAAGACAAGGGAAGACCAATCAGTATTCATTATTTTACATCACTTCTTCTTGTGTTTGTTCTGTGAGGTGTTCATTATCTGAACATAAAAATCTTTTGCGAAAGTGTTCGTTATCCGATTTGTTTGTTAATTAACCGATCACCCACTGTATAGGACAATCTACATGTTAAAAATTAAATAATGCCAATTATCAAATAACATTCCAATTTCAAACATTGTCATATGGAAGCTAGATTGGAAACCTGAAGTAGGCTTATGAAATATGCTGAAAATGTTCATGTTGGGGGTTGCCAGGTCTTTTCAGAAAAAAAGGAAGATTTTCTACCACAGCTCAAACATTTAATTAGAACATTACATTACATTGTATACATTGTATACTAATTGATTGTATACTAATGTTTACATTAACTGATATTCAATTTACTCCTAATATTTCTCTTGTGGTTTACCTGCTCTTAATAATTTTTTATCCTGTTTTGCATATTGGTAAAATTGCTTACAAATGAAAGGGAAAAATTTATTACAGTATATCAATATAACACAATGTGAGATAGTGGACAAATTACATGCAAGGGTTAAGCACTTCACCAATACCAAATTAGCTAAACATCTGACAATGGGAAATATCATAGTTAACTCTCCTGATACATCTAGGCTTTTTGCATTTGCTAAGACTCATAAACAGGGACACTTATTGACACGCCCTGTTGTCAATAAGGCTAGAACACTGACACACACGCTTGAGAAGCTCACACACAAGCTACTCTCTCCACACTTGGAGGGGTAACCTTATATTATGAGTAACCCTGTAGACCTCATAACTCTCCTCAGGGAGATCACCTCCCCTCCACAATTTCTCATGGTATTGGACTTTAAGTCCCTATAACCTTCAATTCAACTCCCACCTACCTTTTGTGCCCTCAGGGATCTCTTATTCAATATTGTAAATGATGACAGCTTACATCAGCAAGTCCTAGAGATAGCACATTTATTATGCAGCAATTCGTTTTTTCAATTCAACAGTACAGTATACACATAGGGAAGAGAAGTCCTGATGGGAAGCTCTGTCTCAGGGGACTTATGTGAGATGGTGATAAGACAACTAGAATGCAAGATCCTCCCTCACCACTTCCCCAACATCATTTTATATAGGAGGTACATAGATGACATAATCATTCTATGGAGGACAACTCCATACATCTCAGCCTTTGTCGATTCCATTAACGACAACCCATATACTTGACCCTGGAAATTGATCAAGTGCACCCTACTAAGGTCCATTTCCTCGACATTAACATTAGAATTGAAGGGTTGGCAATCCATACCGAGGTGTACCATAAACTGGGATTGGAATCCATATACAAACCTGTGGGCTCTTGTGACCCACATCAGTATAAAATTTCAGCCTATGTAACCTTAATTAGGAGAGCGTACACTCACTTGTCCACTCAACAAGCTATCCATGCCAAACTGAGACATACTCATTGCATAGACACTGACCATGGGTACTCCAAGCTCACATGTAAATTAATCGACAGATTTCACCACTCCCATGATGAAGACTGACTGGATGATGAAGAAAGGATCCCAATCACATACAACTCATATCTCAAATCACTACATACCAAGACAGCTAAGGAGTGCCATATTCGCATCACATACAGAAGATGTCCAACCGTATTTTACATCCTTCATAACAGAAAGGACCTTCCCAACTAGGACAAATTCTCTGGAGTGTAGAGCATCCCAATTAGGGATCACAGATGTGATAGAGAACTCATCTACATCAGCTTTATGAAGTACTCCTTGGGGGTTAGAATGAAAGAGCATATCGCTAACATACAGCACATGAGGACCACCACTGCTCTTGCCATTTACACCAGTGATCCAGACATAGAGCTGGATTTTAACCAGGTGTGAGTCATCCTCACCTCACCACACACACAACATCTAAGGTGGTTGGAGACCATTTATATCTACAGATCTAGCTTCAACAACACTTGTATCAACCACAAAGAGGAATTAATTCTGTCCATAGCATGGCAAGTGCTAATGGACAAAGACCTATAAATCTTATCAATTGCTACCAGCTAGAGTGTGCATGCCCAGTAGGACATCATCAAGAAACACATATTTGAATTTCAAATTGTGTTCTTATTGAATTGCATTCTACAGGAAATTTGCCTTCACCTGAAGGACTGTTTATGGTTCGAAAAGTTTGTGGAAAACTGTTTTTTTCGTTTTTGTTGTTGTTTTTTGAGTTTCACACCGGTAACAGGCTTTGAGGCATGTAAATAACTTCACTCCGCTGTTGGTTAGTGTTGATTTGAAAAGGAAATTGTGAACAATTTGTAGTTTCACTTCAATCAAATGTGGATGGCTCCTGTTCTAACATCTGTCCATTTATTCTTCATTACTGAAAAAACCTCTTTCTACAAAGGTATTAGAGCCTGGAATACTTGGAAAAAACCTATGACTATTTCTGTTTGAACTGGTTTCCTTAGAAACCTTAGAAAATAAAACATAGCCACTTATCAACACCACTGCCTTGATAATTTAAACACTAATAAAACACCCCTACACTCAAAAAATTCCTCATACAGCTCATCAAGGTTAACAAATTCTTGCAATTTTAATATTCAAAAGATTCATTTAAGAAAGTTTCAAAAGATTCATTAAATCTAAATTTTCCATTAAATCAACAGATAATTCTTAACAGAGATATTTTTAATACTTCCTTAACTTTAGAATAATCTTCACAAATTTTAATTTATGAATTCTATACAAATAAGAAACTACTTACATTTGAAAATCTTCCAAAGCATCTTCATACACCTGAAATAAAATTATAAGGCTATTTTATTTATCTATATTTAATACTAAATTCAATAATATTTACCATAATTACTTTTTAAAAATTAAATAAAAAACTTGTTCATTTCTAAATTTATTTGAAAATGAGCAACTTTCAAAACACAGAGCCATAAAACAAAAATTGTATAAGTTCAGAAAATACAATTTTCTGAACTCATACAATTTTTAATTCATACATTAACCTATTTCACTAACATTTTCTAAAATATTAGAAATTTTGAAGAGCTATTTAATCAATATTACTATTTTAATATGAAATATATTAGTTTTATATTAGTCAAATTCAGTATCAAATATATATATCATAAATCATTATATACATAAATCAATATTTACATATAACTCATTGTTCATATATAGCAACAACAAATTTGAACAGTTTTCAGGCATCAGAAAAATGAAATAAAACAAAATTAAATTGAAGAACCAACTGCTTTTATCTTTAATGTTTTATCTTCAGAGATAAGCTTTAAAATACCAAAATATTTAAAAAAAAAAAAAAAAAACAATATAATATACAGAATTACATGAGTTATTTTAATTGTTCATATTGTGAGGCCCTGGAAATAGCTCCCCAAAAAAGGAAAGGTATGTAAAAATTTGTTATGTTAAATCGTCAGGAAAGCAAATTATAAGTGTCGAATCGGCGACACCCAACTTTGACGTCGACGCTCATCAAAAGTTGACGGGAAAACAAAAGTTAGATATAAAAGAAGAAAATTTAAAATATTAAAAGTTAAGACGCAGTTTAGAAAGCAAAACGAAACTAGATAAAAAAATGTCTAGATGAGCGAAGGTGTCATAGTTAACAATTAAACGCGATCAGATTCGAAAGGATAGTGTCGGATAAACCATCTCCAGCCAACCTTTTCCACGAACTTAACGAAGCTCCATTTACACCTGGAGACAGTTGGATGACCAATTGGAAAACGGTGATGTAAGATCTATCCAATTGACAAGGAGCTGATCGCAAAAACCCTATAAAAACGCAAAATTCAAGGACAACGGGACTTCCACTAAGACTTCCTCTAAGACTTTTCCACCTAGACTACCTGTTGTGTTCGTTTGTCGACAGCTGTCGTGCTTTTTTTCATCTTTTGTGAGCTGTCACTGCAGATCTCGAACTTCTCACTCGACGCAGTCACGGGGCCCCTCCAGCGTAGGACCAGATCGACACCGAAACCAACTTGCGAAGACAACCCGAAGTTCTGAACTTAAGGACCTTTGCCAACAAAAATTATGTAAGCATTATCGTCCGGAATAAACGGTTTACCTTTGTAAACACTTGTCTTTGCTGCCTTTACAAACCGCCACCCACATACGCTAAGACCTTAGACCATCCCGACGGTAGGGAATAAAAATCTCCCCTCAATCGGCGTTCTTACAATATAGAGCAGGGGTGGGCAAACCTTGTCACAATAGCAGCCATATACTGTCTATCAGAAATACACAAGACCTACATCCTATATTGAAATACCTACTAGAGAGCCATATTATCTATCTACATTATATATATAGTTAAATACTATGGTTATCATTGTTCAATAGTAAATATCACTGTACTTTACTAATACTTTATGACTGACTGACTAGGTAAAATAATCATTTACGTCCTTCAACATTATAAACATTCCCTAAACCCTCAGTTGCCTGTTTAAGTCATGAGTTACATTTATAATCCCCATGTCCATTACATTTTCTAAGTTTTCTGACTAGTAAATAAATATTATATGTATAAATAGTATGTACCAAGCTTATAAAAAGAAACTATATAAGTACATGGGAGCCACAATAAGGATCTAGAAGAGCAGCATCTGACTTGTGAGCCACAGTTATATAGGGCACTGTGGATATATAGTGTGGCTATGTGCCATAATTGTTTATTTTTTGAATATAATATTTCCTTTGTCTTCGTGTCTATTGTCTTTCCTTCTGGAACTTTCTCCCGACTTGTGTTTAATGGCTTATCAGCAGATGATCCCTTTGTAACAATGAGAAGGTAGGTGACCCTCAGGGTATAACGGAGACCATGAATTCATTCTTTGGTGACGAAGGGGACAGAAAGGACGATGAAGAAAGCTCTCCAACGTGCTTTTGGCACTGCATGGAGACAAGAGGAAAAGAACAAAGAGATTGGAAAAACAAAGTGAAAACCAGGATTGTGAAACGTAGAAGAGTATTTTTTTCCAGTGTGTCTAACTTAATATAAGTTTTTATAGAAAGAGGTTAATATTCGCCGTGAATTGAAAGTGATTCGTCCAACTTACTGACATCACTGTGAACAACGCCGAAATCTTTGGGTACCCGACTTTTCCTTCATCTCTATTTCCTATTCTCTTTCTTGTATTATATCTCTATATCTTCTTAAGTAGATCATAGTTAGTCATAAGTTTATATTTGTATTGGCCCTTGGTAGACTACTACTTCAAGTAAGAAAAAAATTGTTGTGATAGACAGACTTACGTTGGTTTTTGTTTTCTATAATAGTGTAATCAGATCAGGGGTAGAGGTTGTATAGCTGGCATTCTATAATAATTTCCTGTACTCTGTTATGCGAATTAAAGATTCTTATATTATAAAAGTTGAGTTTCTTTGTCTATGGTATTCACGCACTTCACAATAGTATTATCCATACAAAAATTTTTAAAAATTTGTTTTAAATAAAATAGTACAACATATATACATTAAATCCCTTTCTGAGATCCTGCTAATTCAGGCAAATTTTTTTGAAAAATTGTACAATAACTTAAAATTTCTTGATAATAGAAAAATTATAATTAAAAAGTAATTATAATTAATGACTGTTTTCGATATCCATATTACAATACCATTGTGACTTTATTAAGCCTTGTCATTTATTTTTCATTTTCCTTATACCATCTTCCTGTGGTAAAACTGTACTTCCGGCTTCTGTCTCCCTAACCACACTGTAGTTGGTTGACCCATGTGGTCTGATCTGTTATAAAACAAAAGGGGTAACACCTGATTGGTCGAGGGGTTACTGGCAAAGGACGGAGGGAGATTCGAACAGAACAAAGAAGACATATTTTGGGAAAGAGCTAGATACGTGTCAACGAGAACAAAAGGAAGACCGATATGACAGAAAAATCTAAGGCTTTTTTTTATTTCATTGCCAGTTACCACTTTGAACCTTCTCATTCTATAAATACTTTTATAATCCTATGATTCTTAACATCTTTCGTTTTTACTTTTGGGCCCAGTTATTTGTAAAAATTAGTTAACTTAGACCTAAGATAGAACAGATTCTTTGTTTGTTGGTACTTCTTGGGAACCCATCCATTGCATTTGTTATGATCAGTCCCAATTAATCTTGTAAATTCATTGTTCGAATGATTGCGTCTTCAAAACTTTAGTTATTTTTGTGAAAATTAAACTTATTTATCAATGCTGAACGTTTCCCTGGATTCTGTTAATCACTACTCGGCTACACTGTGTATTATATTACTATAGTCAGTAAGTAATGTACATACTTCAGTAACTATTATAAAATGTTTTGAGTTCATTTTCAGTACAGTAAATCTTCAATTTAATCGACAAAATTTCCAGTCTATACATCATATGCAAAAATCAACACCCTGTACATTTTAAAATGCTTTATATGTGTAACTAAATTAAATGGTTTTTTTTTTTCAAATCCAAGAGTCATCATTCTTAACTTCATGCCACAAGGGGAGTGTCTCAATGTAGCATCATCCAAAGATGATTAAATAAAAAATGTTTTTTTGTGTTTTTGTCAAATTTAAATTTTGTTTCTTTTTAAAAAAACATTAAATGTATTTAACAAAACAAATAAATAGTGTACCAGTATTTTTTTAATGTTTGCTTGTTTATTTCAATTTACAAAATATATATTTGTTTATTACAGTCTCAGAACTATGATGAATACCTAAGCAATAATAAATATAGAGAACTAAAAATAACTTCTCATACACATTTTAATTACACAAACACATCTACATAAGTAAAAACAGAAATTAATTTGTCAACATGTGCATTTGAAAAACTTGCTTTAATATGTAACTTAATGGACTTTTGGTTTTAATGGACAGTCCTTTGTCTAAATCAGGCCATTAATTAAATTGAGGTTTCACTGTAACAATAAATTCATCAGTACAAACTGCTAAAGCTCAGTAAAACTTCTGTGTAGAGCTAATCATAATAAATTACTGTAGTACTGTATATCTGTCTTATTGTTTTTCACATCATTGAAGAAAATAAATTGAATGAACTGCTAAATTGAACTTTCATAAACTCAGACAACCTTCACCCATCTATTAATCCATGTAATTTTATGTTGATAACCCAGATTATCTGTGTTAAAAGATAATTTGAAAAGAAATGTGGGTTACACAATGGGATGCGTTATATGCCAATTTTAAATTCCAATCATAAATTAAAGTTGATTTGCACTTTATGATTGGCTGGTGGAAGGCATCTAACCTCCAGACCAATAACTGTCTATTCATATATTCGTGAGAAATGACATTAAGTGTTTAACTGTACTCATCATTATTTTTACTACCTGGCCTACTTTGATGGCTTAAGATTTAATTTTTTTAATAACTATTTGCAATTAAGATACAGATTAATTTTCAGTTTAATACAAAAAACAAGCCAAAAAGAATTAAAGTTTTATAAAATTAAATTAAACAAAAAATAAAGCACTTATTGGTTAAACTCCCATATGTTTCATCAAATATCTATATCATAAAAAAAAATGCTATTCAAAAATTCCAAAACAAATTTTGTTTGAAAATAAAATGAGTTTGCTAAAATGTTACAATTACTTTTTGAATTTATTACTACATTAAAATGTTTACTTATTTCTACAATAGAGCACTGATTATCCAAAAATCAATTAACCAAAATTGATTTACCAATTTCAGAAATCTGAAGTTTTTATGTAATAACAACTGTTGGTGATTTTATATTTAATTATT